TATTAACTGGACCCTCTTGAATTCACTATGTTTAAGTAGTGACGTTCCTCAAGGAAGCATTCTCGGACCACTTTTTTGAGTATTTACATCAACGACTTACCCTCTGTCACAACAAACTGTTTAACACAATGTTATGTCAATGACACTAAACTTCAGATTTCTTTCAAGATGCCTGATTGTCCTACTGCTGTAAACAATTTAAAAAGTGACCTTTTTTTGATACACAACTGGTGTTTCAACAAATTTTACTTTTAAATCCAGAAAAAACAAAACAAATAATCTGTCTCCAGTGTGAAAACGGCCACTGACGTTTTCTCAGTGTTAAGATATTGTACTATAGAGAAGTGGCCTGTGACCACATTTTACCCTCCAATGCAGGAAATTGTTAGAAATAAGGAAGTAGTTATGACTGGGAAATAACAGCAACTCAGCATCTATTAATTCCAAACTAGAAAACCCAAACAATTTGTCCTAGGATTTCTGTACTTCCTAGATTTAAAGTTAGGCTAGTGAAGTTAGGATGTAAAAGGAGCCTATGTAATCCATCCAATTGTCTTCATTTCCTGTATAGCTAATTTATTAAATTTTACCATATGAGGTATCAGACATAGAGAAAATGACAACAGTGTGGAATTGCAGTTGTGAGGATCAACAAAATAATCAAAATTGTATTTCCAGTTTGTAGGCATCTCGCTCATGCTCATGGTTCCTGTCTTTAAAATCATAATGAACCATTTATTGACAATGTATTGTGAAAACAATCAAGAAAAAGCTGAGTCTTGTATTAATAATGCCAGGCCTAGGTCAGAAGGCATACTGTGCTAGACTGACAAATAAGCATTTCATAATGACAAAACCAACTCAAACAAAACACTGCGAATATAAATTAAGTTCTATAGACTTAATTGATGATCATAAGTATACTTGCTTTACATAATGCTCTCCCTTACAATCGTTAACTCTTGCAATACAATACAATACAAATTTTATTGTCAACTCCCTATGGGGGCTTTTCAGAGACAAATATTAATGGTACAGGTAATTAAAAAACAAACAAACAAACAAACCAAAAAATACTCAAGAATTGTCAATAAACAATAATTATTATTAAGAAACTATTTGCATATAGAATTTATGACATCACAAATTGATTATCAATAAACTATTAAGAAACTATTTACATATAAATTTATGACATTAAAAGTTGATTTAAAAGGAAGGCTTTCATTTTACGTTTGAAAATGATAAGAGATTCACTTAATTTAAAATGGGGTTTTAACGCATTCCACAATGTTACAGTTCTGTAATAAAAAGATCTCTGTCCTGACTTGGTTTTAAAAAGCGGTATATTAAGCTGGGAAGATGATCTGGTCATCTGACCACTGATATTCCCTCTGGAGATTTGATTAAATAGCTTCACAGTAGAGTCATGCTATATTAATCTACCTTTAACTTTATCAAAGCTCACACTGTATATGAAAGTTCAGTATTATTATGTACATGTACAAGGAAGACAAAAAAAACTTAAAGTACTCTGTGGTGTAATTTACAATACACCTATGAAAAGGATCTGAACAGTTAGCAGGTAAATCTCTACACTTGTATTTACATAAAAAGGGGGAACCTGAAACTTTTGAAAACCCCATCTCTCAAGCCCAAAAACTAAAAAACCATGCAAAATGTCTTAACACTGTTTCTCTAGTGATATAAACAACCAGTCTAAACCAAGGTAAAGGTGCACTATATCGATTTCATTGACTGAAAAATGAATCAATTTGACAATAAAAGTGATTACTTAGAAATGTACATATACTGTTTGGGTAACATCTGTAAACATAATATCAATAAGTGTTGATCATGTTCCTTTCTGCTTTTTCTCAATCACTGGTAAACTTGCTCCACTTCTTTAAGTTGTGCAACATTGAAAGGGCCAACACGCACAATGACAACAGGGCAAAAGAATACACTTGAACTATGAACTGTGTAGAAGTCGTCTCGTCTTAGCCACCTAAAAACCCTCTCACCACAACTTATCATTGAGTCCAAGAACTTGAAACTGACACAGCAATTGCCATCAGGACTTCTAAGTGCACGACCAAAATAGTACCTTTTATGATGCTCAACAGCGTAATAATGGTTTGCCTGGATAGATGGTAGTGAAAATCTGCCCAGCTCTTATGCAGTTCCAAAATGATGTTGCATTGGAAAGCATGAACATTGTTAAGGTGACTGAGGAACCAAAGATCTGGCAAAAAAGCAGACACACCAGAGTCATAGCTATTCTTTGGTTGCAGAACATCTTTTTGGGTGTTTGTTGCAAAAAGCCACTGCTTTGCACCCATATTGTTGTCAATTTCTTGTAGTATTTTCCACATCTTAACAACAGCATCTTCAGTGGGTGGCTTAGTAAGAGATCCCACCTTGCTGTCTAAAACAAGAATTTGTTTCTCTCTTGGAAGAACAACAAAAGAAACCAACGCTTGCTCTGGCCATGGTTTCAGGGAGCCCAAAGAAGCTTTTCCTTTCAATGATTCTTGTACTGATCCTGTCTGAACCCTTTTCAAATAACTCTCACAGGGTTCACACAGTCTTGAAAAGTCCTTAAATTTTAGGGAGAGTCCTTGAAAAGTTCTCCTTGAATTTACTTCATTTTTGAATGTGGTGGTCTGGAGAGTGTTATTAAATGCTTTTGGTTTCCCATCACCTAATATAAATCATAGCTCAGATATGTTCAAAGTGATTTACATAAAGCGTTTTTTGTTTTATGCAAGATCTAACTACTAATTTAAGACAAGTGAACTGAAAAATGTAGAGAATTTGGCGGAGGAAACAGTTCAAGCCTTACAGTCCTTTTAGAATGGACAGAATGTGCATCTTTTTACAATGTGCAAAATTACATTCCTGGTAGGTAGTCCTTGAAAAGTCCTTGAAAAGTCCTTAAAAAATGGTTGCACTTTTTTGTATGAACCCTGTTCCGCCTTAAAACTTGCACTTTCATACCTTTGGCCATTCCCTTGCTTGCAATGAGGTGCAAATAAACCTCAATGACAAAGTTTGTGAGGTAATTGTCAGAACCAACTACCTTGTGACCATACAATCTTTGAAGATCTTGGTCATTAAGGATGCTGCTTCCTTTTAACGTGACAGTCCTGTTAAGCACATAGCTTAGAAATGGTTGCCTGTAGTTTTGGGCTGTTATCTGATCAAATCCATAATTCACTTTTAAGGCTGATGAGTGCTGTTAGGTGTTGGAAGGAAGTTGGCTTTTTTCACCAGCATCGTGCTTCTTTTTCTCACCAGCTACATTAAGGAGTTTATCCAGACTTAACGTTCTAAACAGCTTTCCAGATGTTGTATCTGTTTTCTTCCTGTTGGGTTTTGTTTCAGCATCATCTGGATCTACCACATCACTTTTCTTTCTTTTGCCTTCTTTAGGTGCTGGACCTGGTAAAGTCTGTTGGCAACTTTTTTGGACAACCTTGGAAGGCCTTGAATATTCTCCTGCTTCACCCAGCAATGGAGGTTTCATTTCAGGACCGATTTTTCATGTTTCTTTGGTCAGATTAAGTTGGTTTTCTGAGTTGCTCTACTTGTTTCTTTCGCCTTCAATGGATAATTTGACTCTTGCCATTCCAATTCAGGAAGTGAAAAGCTGTAATATTGCTTTGATGGAACGAATCTTCGCTTTTCACCAGGATCTTGTTGTAGGCAGAGAGTTACCACTCCACATCATAAGATCCAGTGGTTGCTGTAGTGTAACAAGATGCAATCTTGTAGCACTCAGGGAGGGTACTTATCTTTGGCTTCCAAAGCAAAGTCAAATCGAAGTTTCCATCTTTACTCTGCTTGTCAGCAAGAGCACCAAGGTGGTTGACATACATTAACTACTCGTCTTTTGAAACTACTTTAAAACCACGAATGCTGAGAACTGAATGGAGGTCATGGTCCACATCAACAAAGTTATGTAGATCTAGCACTTGAACTTGTTCCAGGAACTTTGATGCTGGTTGTGCCCCATCCACTACATGCTTGGACAGTTTAGAATGGGCAATATTAAATGCTGAACTGAACCACAAAACTAGCTCTTTCTTTTCAGCACATGTGAAAGTGTGCTCTCCTTCAAAGCAAAAGGTAACATCTTCCTTTTCCAGTTGCTGTCAACATCCAGAAAGTGCAGTTGCCTCTCCATCTTTCCATGGGTCTGAGTGACATGAAGTTGTATAAACTTTTGACATAAAGGGATTGCCACCATTGACTAGGAAATGGAAGTTTTTACCTTTCAGCTTAGAATGAAGTCCACTGAGGGAAAAAACTGCTGATGTACTTGCTACCTGTAAAAGGTACTTGACAAAAAAAGCATAGACATTTCCTTTGTATTGTCTCTGATTTGAGCCATCCTTACTAAGTATAGGAGGCACTGCACTTTTTTAATTGTCAAAGTTGCTGCTTCACTCTTTCTGAAAAGCTGCACCAACAAGGGTATTTCCTAGGTAATCTTGTACAGAAAGAGACATCATTGAAAATTAAAATAGGTGCAGTTTGCTGGTAAAATCACATAACCAACTTGGGGCTCCCATTAAGCTGTGGCAGGCAGTAGTTAAAGATAGTATGTACAATCATGGAACTGACAGCAAGCAACTGCCTTAAATGTTGAGAACTGGCAGTTTCTAACTGCAGATAGTTGTGTACTGGGGGTTCTAACTGTAGGGCTTTGAAAGGGAATATTTAGGTGGTCTCTTGAGAAGAGTTGTCTGCACATTTCACCATCATTTAAAGTGATTTATGGCAAAAAATTTTTTAAAAAAGTTTTGACAGTCTGTGGTGTAAATAAAATAGATCAATGAAACCTTTTTAACTGCCCAGCTCTTTCAGTCCATTCCTCAAGAAAGCATACATGGAGAGGGAAATATTTTCTACTATGAAATATTTTCTCCAATTAAGTAATGCTCTTCTTGAAATGTATGCGGCTTACCATTTGAAACATGCTCAAAGCTGTAACAAAGAAATGACAGCTTTAATGGCGAAATCAACTTATAAAATCCAAAATTATCCAGAGAGGAAATATAGTGTATTATATACAGGTACATGACAGTTTCTATACATACTATTATTCATAATTTATGTGATGCTCTGACTAGGCTATTACAGTATTTGGCGTCTTTTGCTGAGTGTCAACATTGTAAACGCAACAAAATAAAAGTGAAATTCTTACCCGGCAAGTCTCATGTCGGACAGCATGTTTCAGGGTTCGCACAGTCTTGAAAAGTCCTTAACTTCCTGTGGAAGTCCTTGAAACGTCCTTGAATTTTCTTCAACTTAAAATGTAGTAGCCTGGAAAGTGTTTTTTGATGCTTTTCGGTTGTCCAAGATAGACTATAAATCAAAGCTCAGAGAATGTAAAGGTTATTAACATAATAAAGTGCTTTATGTTTTATGCAATAATTAACTATCAATTTAAGACAGGTGATTTAAAAAATTTAGAGAAGTTGGTGAAGCGAGCGGTTCAAGTATTAAAGTCTTGGTAGAATACACTCGGAATGTGCATTATTGTACAATCTGTGAAATTATAGGCCTAGTGGGTGGTCCTTGAAAATCTAATGTGGTCCTTGAAAAGTGCTTGAAAAGTGCTTGAAAAATGGTTGCAATTTTTTGTATGAAGGCTGTGTTTTCTTTTGCTTTTGCTGGCTGCTTTTCTTCACGTGCACTGGTTTCACCGATCTCATCTCATCTCTTCCGCCAAGATCTGGTCTTTGTTTTAGGCGTGTTGATTGACCTATAGAACAGTTTTTCCAAGTATTATTTAAACAGGAAATATAACGGTTACAGAAAATATGGAACCTTAGAGAGACAATTATAAAGTTACTAACCTCTTTGAATTCCTTGTGTCCGAGCCAAGCGGTGTATCAGAAGATTATAAATCCCACCAAGTGCCGTGTTTGTAACCTTTGCGTGCTGTGTCACTACTGTTGTGCCCTCTCTGGTATGCATCAACATTGACTGCTTTGGTGTTATAATCTGTTTTAATCTCGTCACAGGTAACAGCTAACGAGGCCAAAGTGGACTTCTGACCAACTGGCAGTGATGCCGTGTTAGATTGTCATCAGTATTATCAGGTACTGGAGCTTGCAAAGTCTCTACAATTTTATAAACAATGTGGAATTGTTAAGGAAGTACACATCGGCTTTTCATAGAATATTGTCATGACATCAGGAAATGACGATAAGAGACGAAGAGAAACATAAAATGTATTTTCCCTCTTTGTGTCTAGAAAACTTCTATTTTGATGGTTTGGGATGCCTGTGGATTGCTGCTTTAGATTAACCCTCCCAGTCCCTCTCTGAATTGTTACTCTGTGTTCCCTCACTGGCTTTTTATTATGTGAGTTTGTTTCATATCGAGGAATAACGACTAAATTTCAGAGCATAATAATGGCATCAAGACTGGTGGACATTGCGAAAATCAGTATGATTTACCCTCTATATCTTGCTGTAAAACTGTAGTTAACTGACATAGATCTGAAGTCATGGTTTCAGCTGGGCTGTGATCGCAGACTGCACTGTCATTGTCAGTGTCTGATGGCTCTTGACGGGGTACTGTACTGACCCATGTATCGAGAGACTGGTAAGATTTAGCTGCAGCCTTACTCTTTCTATTTTCTTGTTCTCTCCTACCCATAACATATTACACAAAAAACTAATTTTGCATCTTCGGGCATTCATGTACTCGTACAAATAGAGAATACTACCAGACGCATAGCGGTGGTGTCTGACAAAAATCGTGTTGGCTTGCTCGTCGTAAACTCCTGTTTTCTGGAAATGAAAATCAGGGCAAGTTGAGGGTACGTTTTAAACTCAAAGTCGGCAACCTGTAAACCATTTTGGCTGAAATTTGGCCAACTTACTGTCAGATGGTTTTTCTCAAAAAAGGTGTCTGCAAATTTTGATTTCTTTTTTCGTTTTCGAGTTAGAGTATTTTTTCACAGGTAGTGTTAATGATTTGCTATCCCTAACTTCAACTGCTTATTATAAGACAAATCCAGTTGTTGACAGAAATGTGAGACACGGTTTTCTAGTCAAACGTGTTAACAAGCAAATGCAATCTTATTTGGCTTCTTCCATTTATTTTTGGCTGGCCTGGACTTAAATTTACAGTGACACCTACTTTCACATAAAGCTTCTCTTAATATTTTGATTTTTCAAAAGGAATAAGCAATAATCTGGAACTATTAATATTCTGATCCCTCAAACCTTGATCCATTTTCCGGAGAAAATCATGAGACGTAGGTCCTTCTTCAGAAGTGTAACCGGTTTTAATGAAAGCAAAAATTCACGGTGAAACGAGAAAGCGTTTTCACCGGCGAGCACAATGTGACAAAATGCAAGAAATCAAAACAAGCTAGCTCTCACGTGATCCTATGACGAAGCACGTCTAACCTATGTTACATAACAAGGAAAACGTGACATGAGAAGGGAAACGCGTGACAGAACACTCCCCGTCTGGTATTTCAAAAAATGCCACTATAGAAGAAAACGAACAGTAACTTTTCTGAAAACAAAGTTATAAGCTTGTAACAACGTTATAAGTATAATCTCCAGCACTTAGCTGAGACAGTTCATCCAACTGAGGTTTCCATCTTCTTGAAATCACTCTCACTTCTGAGCAGAATAACTTCATTTACTGGTCTTGTGTAGGTCCTAACGGATCCATCTTTGGCTGTCACTAGCTCCACCTTACGCACTTTGCCATCTGCACTGACATGGGCTCGGGTTATCCGAGCAAGGGGCCAGCAATTTCTTGGGAGATCGTTAGAGCAGAGGAGGACCAGGTCTCCTTCCTGCAGGTTCTTTGCTTCTTGCTGCCACTTTCTTCTCGGCTGGAGCATTGGCAGAAACTCCCTGCGCCATCGGGCCCAGAAAACATTTGCCAGATGCTGGACTTGTCTCCACTGCTTACTGTATAGTTCTTGTTGAGTGAAATTTCCTGGCATCGCCTTCAGGCTTTCAGACTTTT